TTCTGCGAGGCTTGCCTCTCTTTATATTGTATCCGTATTATTTTAGTCTCAAAATGTTAAAAGCGATAAATTATCTTTTTGATCGATACTGTGCTATGACTCCCTCCCTTATCGACGGATAGAGAACGAGAATCAATTAGCAATTGACACAAAAGGGCTCCAGTGCCCCGCCGCTGGAACCGCTGTCTTGTATGGAAAGCGTGGAATATCTTAAAGGAGGAGTATCTGATGAAAGACGCAAGAGGGTGACTATTCCCCCGGATAGTCCCCCAGATTTCTTGTTATAAAGCGTGGTACTACGGTTCCTGTGGAACCGGAAATCCATTCGGGGCAGAAAGAAGAAGAAGAAGAAGAAGAGCTTACGCGAGTGCGAGGAATACGTGCCGCGAGTCATAATCGTAAGGCCGTAATGCCGTTACCAACCGACATGGAAGCGAAATTGCTGCGCCAGATAGTTCTTGCAGGTATGGCGGATCAAGTCGCGAAAAAGGTTTCGCCCGACGAGGTAAAAGAAGATCAGGATAAGGCCAAGTGGAAACATGCTTACAGGTTAGGTATGGTGTGTTATTAATTGTCATTGATAATTAAGACCCATTGAATGCGACAGCTCTCCATTCTGAACCATCTTTCAGAACACCAGAAATGGAGGAACCTGTATTCATGCATTCTTCGTGCGTTCTACGAAAAATCAGTCCGGAATAGGTGGTACAAAGAGGTGTACGAAACGAATAAGATGTACATGCGAGGTGTCACGGCGATAGAACCCGAATGATTGCCAAAATTCGATCCCATGCTATGCCATCTTAGTGAACCATTGGTTGATCCACCGCCAAGGTATATATTTTTATTACAATTATTGCTTTATAATGTTTTTTTTACTTATTTATAAAGATATTAATCTTCATTATGATCGAATATTATTCTCATTTATAGATATAATCAAGAAACTGGGAAGATCATTTGCCACGTGTCTGGTACATTCGGAAAGGCCGGATGGGCACTACCATCGATGGATATAAAGCATTCGTGGACGGTGTCGTGGTTCGCGTATTTCTTCTTGGAGAGTCAAGTGTACCCTAAGCTGAAACAGTTTGTCCCGTCGCTGCTGACGACACCTAGGAGCATCACCAAGTTATGGGCCAGGTAAATCGTTATTTTATCTCCTTTTAATTTCACGTTGATTCATCGAATAGATTACATCAATTCAATACGATTTTTTCAGATTGATACCACGCACTCAAGCAACAGTACAAACGCTGCAGTCGCAAGGAGTCGTGTCCAAATACAAATTGCTAGAAATCTGAGGTTCGGATAAAAAATGTGAGATTTTAATTTATAAAATAATATTTAGATATTATTATAGACTTCTATACAATACTAGACCGCTGACAGGCATCTCGGCCGTGATGCTTGCCGTCATGTTGAGTTTAGTCAAGATATGCTATACTACAGATTCTATACAAGTGGTTTTATACAAGATTTCTACACAATAGTCTGGCATATACAGAATGTCCAAAGAAAGGGTTTAATACTACAGGAGTAGTGGTTCGATTTCGGCATCCAAGTACGCTACACGTCGAGGGCATGACTTACAAACTTATTGATAACATGTACCAATATTTAACACAAAAACATTCGCCTGCTTCGTTATGTACTGTAATAACGAATGCAGATAAACGCACATTATGAGCAACTGAACATCCGATAGTGACTTATTGTTAATTCAATATGGCCGCACCCTTCATTAACAGTTGCCCTTCGCACTCGCATCAGCTTTTCGGCAGTGCGTCCATTGATGTTAGTGGTCTAGTATAAAAGTCTGTGGATATTATATATTTATAATATTATATATATATATATATATATATATATATATATATATAT